GGCACCTCAGGGCTGCTGACTGCGCGCGCGCTCGGGCACCTCAGGGCTGCTGACTGCGCGCGCGCTCGGGCACCTCAGGGCTGCTGACTGCGCGCGCGCTCGGGCACCTCAGGGCTGCTGACTATACCTGCACTCGGGCACGTTAAAGCTGCTGACTGTATTTGGTGCTCTGACTATGAAAACATGCATCTCCCAAAACACACTTAGAAGACAGTGGACACACCGCAATTGCCACCACAGTGTGCCTATGCTAGTATCCGCTATCTGGGATGTCTGTTTGCCTCCCACAATTATGAACTTAAATCACTCAAGGTATGAAAACCATGTGCGTGCCCTGAGTTGGACTGATGTCCAGTCCAGGTTGTACCCCTGTGGCTCCTGTGACAGACTCTGAATCTCATGTCTGAATTGCCTCTGATTGTATCAGTGGACAGATCTGACTCTGACTCTAGTTAAGCAGTTCATTGCAGAGATGTTGTCCTGCCCAGCACCTTGAGACCAGCTCACCTTGTCAGAAACAAAGGCAGGGTCACGGATGTCACTCCTCCTGCTATTGGCAAACTTGCATGCTTCGATATAGCGGTGATAAGTCAAGGTCTTCTGCTTTCCAAGAATGGAGAATGAGTCAAGGTTGAATCCTGAAAGAATCAACAAAGTGAGGAAGAGCCTGTTCAGTCAACATGCTTCTATGATGTAATGGATCTTTGAGGGCATGGTGCAGAATCCTGACCTTTCATTATGTTAAGGATGAAGCTGAGAAAAGCGCCACCTGAAGGCGGTGGAGGAAAGTACATCGTATAATCTCCTACTTTAATTGACCATGGGTCCACGTCTTTTACTGTGTACGATTTCAGATCCTCCATGGACAAAGTTCCACCTAAAATGCAACAGGGAAAACACAACTTTAAGCTATCACACCAATCCACTACGAAAACTAAAGGGGTCAACAGAGGTCTCAGGGTCAACTTGGGGGACGCGTCGAGTTGATGTGACAGCACGACTGTGGCACCTGCATCCCTCACATCCTGGACGAGATCCTTGGCAAGCGGTCCCGTGTAGAAAGCGCTCGCACCCTCTTTGGCGATGATCTCCAGCGTGTCCGCCAGCTTCTCAAACTTCACCGTGTCCCCCACTTTCAGCAGGGTGTTGTTCTTATGGGAGAACAGCTTCCTGAAAAATTTTAGTTTGCCATAAAGTGGGGGGTGTTATTCAGTTCCACTCCAGGAAACTCACAGCATCTTATAGTCCATCATGTCCCTGATTTCGCTAGTCAGACAATCGTCTGGTACTTGCATGTTAGATATTTCAGCAGTGTGATAATTCCAGCATTCAGCATCATACCGTAGTGGTGACGTTTCCTCGAGTTCATGGAACTCCTGGAAACGGTTCATGATAGGGGACAGGGGGACGCCCTGGCGGGCCAGCCGAATGGTAGGCTGGAACAGACTGGCCCAAGTAAGTCGCCCATAGCGCTGGTGGACCCACTCGTAGCCACGAAGCTCCCCTGGAATGCCGATCCACTGGCTGTCTGAGGGACAGGACAAAGGGACACAGGACAGAGGCGGTGGGGACAGATATGATGCCACGTCTCAACTACAGTGGCAGACTGTCTGCCTTCTTAAGTCTGACAAGTCCTTGTTTCAGCCAATGACACGCCACATGTCCTAACCCTAATCCTAACCTTCTTCATGTAACAATTCTTGCAAAGTTTTATCAAGCTAATTTGGGTAAAATATAAATTGTTTTATGGAACTTTGTGGACTTCAGGATGTTAACTTTGGGACATTTTCAGTGACGTTTTAGACGAAGAGCCCTGAAAATTCCATCCATCAATCCATCCAGCCATCCATCCATTTTCCGCCGCTTATCTGGGGTTGGGTTGCAGGGGCAGCAGTCTGAGCAGGGATGCCCAGACCTTCTCCCCAGCCACCTCCTCCTGGGGAATACTAAGGCTGAAGCACCCCCCACAGAACCCCCCAAGGGACACACTGATATGCCTTTTGTAATTCCACAAAACACATGTAGACTGGTTGGACAAACTCCCATGAACCTCTAGCATCCTTCTGAGGGTGAAGGGCTGGTCCAGTGCTCTGTGACCAGGATGGAATCTGCATTGTTCCTCCTGAGTCCAAGGTTCAATGAATGAGCGGACCCTCCTCACCAGTACCCTGGTATAGACCTTCCCAAGGTGGCTGAGGAGTGTGATCCCCGTGAAGACGAAGCACCAGCGCCCCAGTCTGCCAGTACCTGTCAGCAGCTTCAGGAATCCCACAAGCCAAGCAAACTCAGAAAGCCTCCTTCATCAGCCTGACAGCTCCCTTTACTGCTGGTGTCCATCACCGGGTTCAGGGGTTACCATGGCGACAGGCACTTACACACACAGCTACGCAATGCTGCCTCAGCAGTAGAGTCACGGCACATGGCCCATTCAGGCTCAGTGTCCCCTGACTCCCTCGGGATGCAAGAGAAGTTCTGCTGGAGGTGTGAGTAAATGATCTGGCTTCTGCCAGACGCTCCCAGCACACCCACATTACACGTTTGGGTCTACCAGCTCTATCCGGAATCTTCTCCTGCAATCTGATCCAACTCACCACCAGGTGGTGATCATTTGACAGCTCCTCTCTTCACCCGAGTGTTCAAAACCTGTGGGTGACAGGGGCCCTAAAAAATTAGGAAAATAACTGGATTGGTTTGGACTGGGGGGCCTAATATGATATGCTTTCATGGGGCCCAAAATCTCTAGCAACGCCCCTGCCGATGATATAATTGAACTGCAGCCTAGGGTGTTCAGGCCCAGGTGCACTTATGAACACACTTATGTTCGAACATGGTGTTCGTTGGACAAACTGTGGTTAGCACATAAATCTAACAATGGAGCCACTCGGCTGTTTCTCCCGATCACACCCTTCCAGGTTTTAGCTGATACTCTGAACTGATTTGGTGCGTATGCAGAGACAAAAGTCAGAACCCATCCCCCGACATGGAGTCAAAGGAAGGCAAACATCTCGTTCATCAAGGTGAACTCCAACGTACTGGCACCGAACCCACACCTGCCCGGCACCTCTCACCATGGGCAACTCCAGAGTGGAATAGAGTCCAGCCCCTCTCCAGGAGTTCAGTTCCAGAACCTAAGTTCTCTGAGTACTCTGAGATGAGCCCGACTATCTAGTCAGTATCTCTATAACAACAACAAACAACAACAAATTTATTTCTGTATAGCGTGTTATCACATTACATCGTCTCAAAGTGCTTTACAGCATCCCCACCCAAAGCCCCCAGTGAGTAAGCCATAGGCGACAGTGGCAAGGAAAAACTCCCTAGAAGGAAGAAACCTTGGGAGGGACCAGACTCAAAGGGGGAGCCCATCCTCCAGGGGTCAGTCAAATCGGAAATATCTCTATACCTCCCGCATCAGCTCAGGCCCCTTTCCCATGAGAGAGGTTGCATTCCATGTGCTTAACGCCAGTTTTGGTAGCCACCAATTGGTCCGCCGAGGCCCCTGCCTTCAACTGCCACCCAATCAACATTGCACACAACCCCCACGGCCCCCCCTACAGGTGGTGGGCCCACAGGAGGGTGGACCCATGTAACCCTTTTGGGCTATGCCCGGCCAGGCTAAATGGGTTTCATTCCCAAAACATAAGAGCAGCTACATTTATGAGTAGCTCTCAAACTTGCAGGACTTGTTTTCACCAGTGAAGCAGAAAATAATTAGTGCCTGAATCATCCCATGTATGATGCTTCCTGCTGGTGGCCCCACTGCTTCCTGGGATGGACTCCAGGCTCAGTAAGACCCCTTCGGGGGGGCTGTCATGTGTCATGGGAAATGGATCGATATCTATGTACCGTGTCGGCAAAATTATTTGTGCAAAAATGGTCAAAAATTTAAATGAAATTGAGGATGTTGAAGAACAAACACTAAACACTGCCTAAAATGTTAAAATTATGTGTGTGTTATGCAAAGAAACAAGAAAAACTTGCATTCTAAACATTCCGGAATTGTTTTCAAATCATGTTATTTATTGCCTTCAAATAATTATTTGTGCACCTGGCCATTCATAGAGTTTGACAAATATGTGACAATAGGAAGAGTTCCCAGCTATAACAGAGATCATTTAACACGACACGTAACAGCAGGGGCTCCAAATAGGCAGGTAATTGGGGGTCCTTAGTTTCTACAAATAGCCTTGGTGGCCCTTCTCCAAACAAGCATTTGTTGGGTTGGTTGAGTTTCCCAACATTGGTAAAACTGCTGAAACATCCAATGCATTGAGGGAAAGAGTTTCACAATCAGGGTCTTTCTGTTCGAAAAATTGCCACCAGACTTGATATGAGGCACAGTACTGTGCACTACATCATTCAGAAGTTGAAGAAGACTGGTGAAATCTTTACTTTGGAGGGAAGAAGGAGAAAAAGAAGGACCAATCCAAGGACAGACAGGTACATCAAAGAGATCCGAAAGTTGTTTGCTACACAAATTGTAAAACAAGTCAAGGAGGCTACTGGCATTCAGGTTTGCACAGAAACAATAAAGAACACGCTGAATGAACATGGGCTGCTATGATGGAAAAATCTGCTGCCAAACTGCTTAGGTGTCGCTACATTTCCCAACAAGGTTACGAGCCCAATCACACTGCAAAGCGTGTGAAAGCCTTTCTCACCAAGTAGAAGGTGAAAGTGTTTGAGGGACCCCCACAAAGTCCAGATCTCAATCATACTGAGCACCTCTGGGCTGAGATGGAGAGGAAATGCCCAGCAGACCCACCATGCAACAAACAGAACTTGAAGGACATGCTCCAGCGTACATGGGAGAGCCCTGACCCAGCCATTGGCAGCCGCCTTGCTGAAAGCTACCCAGGGGGCTGCATGCTGTTATTGCGGCCAAAGGAGGGCCGACCAGATACTGAGCAGGACTACGAGAAAACTCCAATGGCCAGGTGTACAAATAATTGTTTGAAGGCAATAAATTATGTCATTTGAAAACAATTCCATAATATGTTTTGAATAAAAGATTTTACTAGTTTCTTCACATAAGACACACATTTTAGACAGGTTTTAAAGTTTGTTCTTCAATATATTCATTTAATTTCCATTTTGACCATTTTTTTCACAGCGAACTAATAATTTTTGGCTACACTGTATATCCATTTTGGCAGGGAGACAGAGTATCAGGCAGACACTGAGTGATTCACACAAAGGATAGGCAGGGGATTTGTGCGGCGTGACAAACCGCAGGAAACACAGTGAAGAAAAAATGAACGCAGGTGACATCCAGAAATACCCTTCATGTGTGTGTCAGGCATGAAACACAAAAGACAAGCAGGCAGACAGCCTGGCAAAAATCAGCCAGTAGCCGTGTGACAGTGCAGTGTCAGGCTATGTCCACACGGGGGCGTCTTTGTCGCATCCATTTCTCCTGATCTCCTCCTGCTTGCGACGGACCCAGAGGGGTGTCACAGAGCTGGCAGACGTCCCCTGGGCCCCCCCATCACAGTACAGAGTATGGAGCGCATGAACAGCCCCATGGCAGAGAGCCAGACCCAGTCAGTCCGCAGGACACTCATGCTACCTGTCTTTCCCTTCAAAGGACATTCCTTCAGCAGGTCTGCTCTGGCCCCCACCGGGGTGGTTTCCCGGGCAATGACGACCCGAACCCGACCTGGAAAAATAAACATTCATATGAGGAATAATCAAATAGATCTGGAAAAATATCCACAATATCGATGATATATTGGGATAATATTGTCATATTACTGCTGTGCGAACAGCATACAAAATTAGACATAAAAATCTTTGTGTTTGTTGCTTGTGGTCATTAACTGTAGTAGAAATATTTTACTAAATGGCAATATTATGTCTTATTGTCAATAAACACTTTAAAGAGGCATCATCTCTGTGCTGGAAAAGAATTCTGGCTTTGCTAACCAAAGAAGTGTATTTTTTTTTTGGTTCTGTATGAGGTCTGTGTTTTGGCAGATGCTGGTCTATGATTGGTCTATGTGTTTGTAATCGTGTCCAGTCAGGTGGTTGGGACTCTGCTACAGTGTCAGTCAGTCATATCCAATTGAGATTATTTCCGCTGAAATGATCTACAAGGATGGAAAGCACAGAAATTCAGATGCTACCATTTTCCCCGCATTATTGCAGCATCTGTGGAGTGAGCCAAGCCAAGAAGAAAATTTCACATTGGGGAGTTTAATTAGCAGAAAGGCAGGCAGCATCTACACAGGCAGGCACAGGTGTCATGGGGTTCTGTAATGCTTGGCGCACAGTATGACGATCCTCCCTTGGTGTGGTCTGTCTTGAGTGACCACAACCTTCACGATGTGTGTGGGTGCCCTCATGTGCCCATTGGTCCCAACATCGGGTGTCTGTGACATCTGCATGCTGGGCAATTGCATGATACGACCACCAGGCCTCATGCAAACCCACAATGCGACCCCTATCAAGCTCCATCAAGTGCTAGTAATGTTGTCTAATGTGTCTACAAGGCATCCTCTGTGTCTGGTGACTAGACATGCCAGCTCCTTGCAAATAGAATCATTTACATACCCATCGCTGGTCTGCACATGTACCAAATTACATCCAAATCATCCAAAGTGCTTAACTGTTTTTGTCACCGAGTCTATATACACAAAAAACAGACCTTGGGGTGGGCGGAGCTTCAGGGTCAGGAAAAGGAGGGGCTTACCACTCTTCTCCCGCACAGTGAATATGGAGCCTCCTCCTAGGCCCATGCTCTGTGGATTAATGATGGAGGTGCAGAGTAGTGCTGCAATAGCGCCATCTACTGCCGAGCCCCCCTGCTGCAGAATGTCCCTGTCAGAGGAGAATGGCTCATTATCCCCATCCCTGCCTTTAATCACACACACACAAACACACACACACACACACACACCCAGGGGTTCATTACTGACATGAAAGGCACTGTTGTCAGGTTGGACCCTGTGACAGAGCACTCTGTTACGAAATTAAATTCAAAATGGTGAGCTGTGTCTCATGGGAGGGGGTTGTGGTTGATGATGTTTTAATAGTAACAGATCAGATCTTGCAGTGCTAGTGCTAAATGTAGCAGAGAAGGCTTAGAGAACACAAAGCGGAAGAGGCGGTTTCCCGGGTAATGGCAAGTGAGCCGCAGCACATGGAGAGAGAGGGCATCTGCAGGGCGCGCTTCCTGATATTGTACTTGTAGGCCCTCTGGGGAACTGGAAAAGACTGCTTCAGCCGGGAAAGGTCAGATTAAACTGGGACATAGGCGCGAACTCACACAACAATAACTGCATATTCAACAGGAGGTGAAAAGGACGGGATTTTACATGCTAATGTATAAGACAAATGCGAAAAGAAATCAAGAAACTGGTCAGATTGCAGCAATTATAAAAACGCACACATGTTGGCATACCTATTCAAATGGGCACCTTCCATTCATTACTATGGGAAAAACCCTAATCCCAGTCACAACACCCCTAACCCCCACCCAGTCTACCCAAAAGTCTTTTGGCATATTTAGCTTTTGATTGCAGTCACAGATTTCCATACACCTGAATTTCCCCTCTTGGGGACGCAAAAACTGGTCCCCACAATGTCAAAATAACAGGCTTTTATCACATTGTGGGGACATTTGGTCCCCACAATGCAATGTATACTTGGACCACATACACACACAGAGGCCAACTAAAAAGGAGCCATGGGTGATGCATGCACTGATTCACCTCCATGGAAGTGTCACATTTCAGGTGTGGCCTTCAATCTGCCCCCTCATTCCAGGCAGCCAGCTGACAGAGGGCTCGGCCAATAGAAGCAGTCCAATGTACCCCTACTGTACCCGTATTTGTTGTCTGTTGATAATTTTCCTTTATATGTTGCGTACATAAACTGTACAAGTCAAGTCAAGTCAGCTGGGGCTTTACTGTCACACCAACTATTCTCAGGAGACAGACTTCCCCAGACTGCGGGGCTTACATCGATAGACAGGACACGTGCAGGGTGCGAGGTGGGGAACAGGTTAGGGACACTGACACGAAATGTAATAGAAAACACTGACTGAATGTTCCTCGGTTTTTCATTCAAATGGGCAATGATAGGCCAGCGGATTAGTACGCAGTGCACCGTCACGAAAATACAAGTAGGTCATCACGGATGAGCTGTGTCGTAATTTTTAAATTTTAAACAAAAATTTAAATCTTAAAGTAAGGGGATTTCAATCCATGTCAGGGAAAGGTCTGAAACACGGATATAAGTACAAAAGTGTTGTTCTATGAGGTAACTTTTTGGCACCAGTTATAGTTAACAGGCAAACTATCTGCTTACCATAAATACAGGTTGCACAGGCAGAGTCTGTGAAACTTGGGATTAACTGCAACTGAAAGACAAATGCAGGAGTAATTCTTTTCAAAGCAGCTTGTGTGAACAGGCCTAAGCGGGAAAAATCTTTCAGGGACCAAAAATACAGAAATTAGAACTTGATGATAAAACGATAATCCTTTATTTGCACAAGTACAGTAACACTGGAATGCTTCTCTTCGGCTGCCCCATCTTGCTCTCCAAAGCCTAGGGGTCGGGGTCACAGGGTCAGCCAATGAGGAGCTGGGGGTTAAGGGTCCTGCTCAAGGGCCCACGGACATGCGACTGTTCTGCTGAGGCAGGGGCTCGAATCGGTTATCTTCTGATCGCTTTGCCGTACACAGATTTGGTGACCTTCACCAAATCCATGGGCTCAATCAGCATGGCTACCATGACATTACTTCAAGGGCATGTGATCAGGGTTACAGCTGATTGGCCAGGCTTTCAAAATTGATTGGACGGCCCTGTGATCAGCAATGCAGATGACTAGCCAGTTATCATCCATATAATGCATTTGTGAAGTAGTAATATGATCCATCAAATACTTTTTAACAACACATTCACGAGGGCTGATGCTGCCTGCTTTCACCCTTTCCTCTGATACCACTAAGTTGCGTTGCTTCTGTTTTGGAGCGATCTACCTCAAAATTTAATCAGTTCCAGATCTTCACCCATACAATGTTTCTGCAAAATTTGATATGTCAAACATTTTTGAGTGCTAACAATGTATCTATAGCAGAGGGTGATATTCATTAAAAGAAACGTAAAAAAATCAGCATTTCTCCAAGGTCCGATATTTAAACTTCAACAATATTCAAGGTTAGCAGCACTACAACTGAAGACATAACTGCTAAAATAATGCAGGTGACTGCACTGGACGATCACCCGTTTTCTGTAGTGGAGGACGAGGGATTCCCTCATCTCATAATGGAGGTGACTGCACTGGACGATCACCCATTTTCCGTATTGGAGGACGAGGGATTCCCTCATCTCATAATGGAGGTGACTGCACTGGACGATCACCCATTTTCCGTAGTGGAGGACGAGGGATTCCCTCATCTCATAATGCAGGTGACTGCACTGGACAATCACCCATTTTCCATAGTGGAGGACAAGGGATTCCCTCATGTCATTCACCACTTATAAAGGTGTCAAAGCACCAGCCTGCGACATGATCATAATTCATTATTAAATCTGGCTTGCAGATCAAGTTTTTTTTCCACATAAAAAAGCACAATATAACAATATATCAATCAGCGAATCTGCTCCAGCAAGCTCGGCATGTTTACCTGCCAGCACCATCCCATCCCCCCCCCGCCAGGTCGTGATCCCCTTAATGGGCTTCATTCTGCTGTACAGTACAGTGATTGGCCTTAAGGCAATTTTACACTAGCATGTTATCCCCATTTTAAATTATTATTATTGTAATTATTACTATGTTCTTCTTTCTTTGTATTCCATTAATAGTGTATAATTCATTTTTCATTGCAGTATTGGATGACTTTTTCCAGTGAAATTGAATTTAGGCTCTTAAATTAATTGAATAATTAAAGAGAATCATTTCCTCGGAAATGGTTTTTGAGTCAAATCGCCTTGGGGCCCAATGATTTATACCCCTACCAGACTCCAACTTCCAGAAATGCCTCGAGGGGCCATTGGCTTCATGGGTTGTGACCTGCAGCGTGCACTGGGGCTGTTTGCAGGCACGGGTGAAGTAGCCAGGGTGAAGGTCAGCTCCTCCAAGTTGGACTCCAATAGTTGGACTGCCCCCTGCTGGTTGGGATGAGTTATTGCCTCAAGCAGAGGAGTTGAAGAATATCAGGAGGGAGATAAACAAGCCTGGGAATGCCTTGGTATTCCCCCGGAGGGGCTGGAGGTGGTAGCCAGGGAGAGAGAGGTCTGGGGATCTCTGCTTAGACTGCTGCCCCCACAACTTAACCTTAGATATGTGGCAGAGAATGGATGGATGGATGGACGGATGGTTCTGACTTTGCTGGAAGTAGTTGTGTAGCTCCTGCTCAAACATGACTTGCAGTTGTACCTGAGCATTCATCATAAGGCCGGCCAAGTGGCACTTAATCTCACTCCTCACAGCACATATGTCTATAATGCGCTATTTTCCTCACTTGCATGTCGCTTTGAACAAAGGTGTCTGCCAGACGAAAATAAACGCACCATCTCTCACTGGCACTTTATCGTATTAAGGATGGATCTGCATAATCACAGGCAGCCCAGCTACAATAAGGCACCTGCCTGAAGCAGCCCTTTCAGGCGAACCAGCATGTTGTGCAGACTTGGTCTTCCTAGATGGTGCCTATAAAGTGATTTAATCCTTGTAATGCCAAAGGAGCACAGTGCAGAGGACACACAGGCTGGTAGAGAGCTACTGAAGTGGAAGCCAGTTGGACAGAATATTACTAACTGTGTAGGTTACAGCTGATAAGCTATTTCTAGTCAAGTCTGTAGTTTGCAATAACTGCAGGGGCAGGGATATCACACCTATAGAGACTGAGGGATGCCCTCAGCTTTTTTGGAATTTTGACTGTTTTATTGTAATGATAGTTATTTTGTATCATGCAATTGCACTGCAAATGCAGCGAAGCTCATTCTCATTTCTTAAATGCGCGCCCAGATTAAATGTCTCATATTACCACCCCCATCCACTACTAGTATGCGCTGCAAGCATTGGCTGATTTCAGGGGTCAGCTCCGCCCACCGCCCCGCTCCGATTAACATATATTTGCATGTAGTGAACTTGAAAATGAAAAGCCAAAGTAGGAAATGAAAGTCAAATTGGAAAATGAAAAGACAAAAAGGGTTTTTAATTTTATTTTTCAATTTTTCACATCTGACTCATACATGAGTGGAAAATTAAAATGCAAATAGCGCTATTTCATTTTAATTTTAATTTGTGCAGGATTTTTACGCACAGACTTTGGGAAGTAAATGGAAAAGTGGAGAATGAATTTTCTTTTTATCATTTTCATTTTAATTTTATTTTTTGCAGAAAATACCTCCCATAATGAAGGCATTCAAGTAAGAAATGCATTGTACTCTGTACATGACAATAAAAACTTTGAATCCTTGAAATACTTGTATTTGATCTTTTTTCTGGCAGTTATCTTTTTACACAGAGCCACTATACACAATAGTTTTAGTCACTGCTAACAGTTTGTATCAGGAGTTGGTTATTGTAAAACAAGTAATGTGCATGCAGGTGATATTTGTATAGATTTATCTACACCCTTCTGGCAGTGCTGCCATTGCAGTCAGCTCTCGCAGACTACGAGGAGTAGAAGTTGTCCGACTTGGCTGCAGTCAGTTTATACTCCACCCCTGCAGCTGCCGGTGTTATGCCGAAAAACGCATCCCTGCAGAAAAAGGCATCCCTGCCTTAGAATGCATGCCGGTGTTCCGACGAGTTGAGCTTTTAAGGGTTTTTTGGGGGTTAGGGTTAGGGTTATAGGGGTGTTTTGGGGGTTAGGGTTAGGTTTTAGGGGGGTTTTGGGGGTTAGGGTTTTAGAGTTTTTTGGGGTTTTTTGGGGGTTAGGGTTACAGTTCTACGGGTTTTTTGGGGCTATTGATTAGCACTACGGTAGCCTTACTCAACAAAGTAGCTCAACTCGTTTCAGATCAGCGACCAATCGGTCATTTAGAGACAAGCATGCATGCTACGGCAGGGATGCCTTTTTCGGCATAACACCTGTACATGGCACTCCACGTCGCGTCAGCTGCAGACAGACCAAAGCCCAAGTCGAACACACCCATTGTTTCTTTGAGGGAGGATGGGCAAAATTACAACATTACATTCCAAAGCCAGAACATTCTGGTAACTGGGAATAGTGCAAGCACTGGCACGACATGCTACCTGTCACTGCAATGGTTTTGTCCTCGAATTTGGGGAACAAAGATGCCGGTACAGCCTGTATATAGATGCTCCTTTGTTTAGCGGTATTTTCCCGTTAGCCTTAAGCACTACACTATAGGGTCCTGCAGGGAAACGGGGTGCAGTGGACATTTCATGTTCATCTCAGGGACACGGCTGGCCTTCCTCTGACCCCTGAAGGGATGCGTTCTCGCAATGATTCAGGGGCTGCAGCCACACAGAGCAGCTTGATTGGCCTGAAGAGGCAAAAAATATTCTAGAAGCGAGAACATCAGGAAGGAAGCTGTCAGCAATACGCCGACAGCAGGAGCAGATGCTCATCACACAGCTCTGGGAAGCGTCGTTCTGGAGATGATCGAATCATAACCCAAATCTGTTTTAAGGTGACACAGGAGAGCATACAGAGGCAGGGCCACAGCTGCACTGAAGGATGCTGATTGGCCCTTAACCTTGTCACTCACCGAATTCAAGACATCTCATTGGTTGATATGGTTTGCCCATCTATATGAATTATAGCCCCTCTTACAGCCCCCATCTTCAAAAATAAAATTTGAGAATTGCTCCTGTGATGGAATAACTGAACTTAGAGCCCCCTTTAAATGGTCCCCGTCCACTTGGCACAGTATTATGCTGCCACATACCTTATAAGTGCAAATTCAACTGTATTGATTAGCTAGTCAAAGACAAGAGCACACATGAGCACTTCTGTGGACCCCACTGCTTGACGTGGTGCTTTGCGTGTTAGTGGGATGTGCTAATGCAGAGTCCTACGGAGAATAAACACGTTTAAAAGACATCCTTTGAAGGACACAGCCAACAAAGGCTACACAGAGCATATCCTTCAAAGGACACAGCCAACAAAGACCACACAGACCAAATCCTTCAAAGGACACAGCCGACAAAGGCTACACAGACCACATCCTTTGAAGGACACAGTCAATAAAGGCCACACAGACCATATCCTTCAAAGGATACAGCCAACAAAGACCACACAGACCACATCCTTCGAAGGACACAGCCAACAAAGACCACACAGACCACATCCTTCGAAGGGTGCAGCCCCTGAATTCAGACACAGTCAGTATTGCCATGCAGATGTCAGCTACGGTTTCGGCTGAATGGCTTCAGCTCCAGAATAATAAAATCATCTTCTTATTGCTTCCAAAATGAAGGGCTTCAGTGTGCAACAGGCTTCAGTGTGATCTTACGTCGGCCATGATCATATCACAACTGTTTTTCATATTGTTTAAGACTATTTTGTAAGTTATTGAACAGTGCAACTACAACACATACTAATTACCTTGTTTTAAAAAAATGCACTGCTATAAGGTAATAACCTAAAAGAAAAACATACTTAGCAACCTCTGTCAGGTGTTTTCTTTTGAGGTGATGAAAAAGGTTAATCGTGCTGCAGTCTGATGTGCGAAATTTATTTTTGCTAGTTTTACAAATGACGGTTTGCGCTGTGTCAGGTTTTGAAAATCCAAACAAATTCCATATTACCAATATTGAATTCCACAGACCAGCTTTGTTCGTGTTGCTACTTAATATGGATTGTGCTGCACGTTTCCATGTCTGGACGAAGACACAAAAGCGAGACAGGAGGAATCCAAGGCATTTGCTATTCCGAAACCAATTTGGCCGACAAAATTTTAGATGCATGTATGAGCCATAGAACCGCAAGTGATCGAATGTGCACTGATGCACGATACTAACAATCTCTTCATAAAGGCAGATCATGAAGACATTTCAATTGTTTATGATCTAATATCGTATCGCATATGATGAAATCGCACACCCATGTAGAACTGTGCTGGGAGGCTTCCCGGGGGGGGGGGCTTTCCTGGGGGGGGATGTTTCTGGGCCATCTCAGCTGCCCTGTACGCCATTTCCAATTCTCTTAATTAAGTGCACCAATGGTACAAACCTGTTTTGGGTGACACTGTATTTGGCAATGGACGTCAAAGTGAAAAGAACAGAGAAAAGCAAGGATAAAGTGAAAGTGCACTGAAAAAATATTTCCAAAATTTCAGTTTTACTTGGAACAGGTGCAGTCCATTACTTTTACTACACTGGGTCAGGATTTCAGTAGCAGAGGTGGGAGCAAAATAGCTTAGATGTGATCACAGGTGAGTGGCTCAGCGGGGCACCATATGGCCTAAAAGACACTGGGTTTCTGTGCTGTTCCCAAGTAAATTTAGCATTAGGACATGCCAACTGTTAATGTGGCTCACTAAACAACTGCCAAAAACAGCGCTCTCATCCAGGGACATGTACAACCATTCATAATCATGTCTACAGAAACACATTCTTACGTCTTTGGACACTGATGGGGTCACCAATAACAAAGCAGAGACCAGGGACACTACTCTTGTTTTGTTAAGCAGGTGTAATCTTTGAAATCCTTAAGAACGCACGTTTACCACTGAGTGTTATTTCAGTCGATTTAGAAATTGTGTAATTGCACATAGTTGGATACTGTTGCTAAAAGTGTTCATTAACAATTTGTGTTACCACTGGGAATCTTTGTTCTGATTTGGTATTTTGTCTGCCATTTTCCGCGGTTAGACTAATGTTTACCGTTAGGAGTGTATTTTTCTTGTAATGGTACCGGGGTGTAATTTCCTGTCAAGTGGCCCCAGTTTCATATTTTGTCGCCGTCCTAGCACTCAAACAACACTTCCTGCCGAAGTGTTTACCATACATTTCGTAAACTAGATAGACTGATATACGGGCAGACATATAATTTGCAATTATTATAAATAAATTGAGCATTTTAAATATTTACTATTTTTAAATTTTCATTCCAGATGGTTTAAATTAAGTGAAGTAAATAAAACTTCTGCGCAACAAATGACAAAAGCTCTACCTTCACCGGCACGTATTTCGTGTTCACAATGCATTAAGCAATTTAAAAAGTTTTTGTTTGCAGGCACTAGTTTGTATTTCAGCAAGGCTTGCAGGTACTTCATCATCTCACACCGAGATTTACCCAATCTTAGTAAAAAAAAAAATAAAAAAAAAGTAGTTTCAGCTAATTTAGAAAAGTAGCTATAAGTAACTATTTTACACGCTATTGTCTAGCAAACGTCTGCATCTGCAATCTTTGAGTTATTAACTGCATCTATATATTATATGTGTCGTTTATGTTCTGCAAACAAATAGTGCCAAGGCTATTCAAATCCACATTGTCACGCAAACCTTGTTCAGGAGACTTAAAGCGATGTGCACCAATACATCACACAAAGCAGCAATTATCTAGGCTACAGGCTGCCTTTTACTTTGCCTACATATTTTGGGTGACTGGGAAGGTCTCACCTGCCGATCTTCGAGCAAGTCCCGGAGTCGGCGGCCACGGCGCCGCGCTTGAAAAGCCCCACCGAGCAGCTCTGGCGACCGAGGAGCGAACCGCAGAGAATCACGACAGCGATGAGCGCCAGCAGCGCCAGGGAGACGCAGAGGCAGCGCCGGCGCTGAGATCCGGCCATGGCTCGGGCTCCGGTTGCGGCTCGGTCGGGTTCCGGCGTGCTGGGAGATCCACTCCACCGATGGTCACCTGAAAGGTGAGACCGGTTTCCAAATTGTCACTTTGTCACCAGAGGTGACAAACCCAACCTCGGGCAGCCTAAAATGTTTCTTTTTGGTGGTATCGATTAGATGGGCATTTACAAGCATTTTATTTAGCAGAAGCTTTACCAATTAAATAATTGATCAGATTAAATAATATAATTAATGGTTTAACCAATCACTTAAATGAACCAGCTTGCAGTGAAACATAAAAAGCATGACTGATCTACATGTTGCTAAAGTTAATGTACTCCACACCTTCAGTCGGTTATAAATCTCACGAAACAGTTGAACGTTTCCTTTAAAAAGGGACTTTAAAACTGCTATCCTCTAGCAAATTCTGCCCTGCTTTCAGTCTCATTTACGCTCAGCAGTCTTAAAAACTAATTTTCCCGCGACTCAACTGAAAAAGCGGCCGGAAGATGGTTAGATGGATCTATCTAATGTCTAGTACAGAAAGTGCAGCCACACAAGTGAAATTGTGTAAAATTGCGGTCTTCCGCATTAATGAGGCAAGCTGCCACACGAGTCTGCGAGCTGAGGTCGTGCGTGAGAAACAGCACGACTTTGTAAACATTTTTGCGCGTTGATCTATCTTGGACAATTTTAGCTTCTCTTGATTTCACAACGCACCTTGTTTGTTTTCTCAAGGGCTGCACAGTCTGTGTTTAATCTTTATGCATTTTGTCATGCTCTTGCGAATGTCGTTTGATCATTTGCTCACACGGTTATCTTTTGTCCGTTTTTGCATGTCATCCTGCCGAGAGCACCAAGATGCGTTAACATGCATTAACTTTTCATTCCATTTCACACCACATAAATTCACATAAATTGCAGAGTGCAGACTCGGATCCCCGGTAGGGATGGTTGTCATTCAAACAAATGTGAGTAAGACGAGCGTGATCACTCCACTACACAGCTGTTTCAAAACGGTGTCCCTCATCTTCGAACCGAACCTCAAATTTATTGTAAAACTACCCAGATTGCATCAAATTCTGTTATTGTTGTGCAATATGGTATGTGGAGGCCCTTATGCAGTTGTTTACAAAAGCGTTAGAGATCTGTGTATTAGGTAACATTCTCTTAAATACTTAAAATATTTAAAAATATTTAGAGTCTGTTAAAAGCCTGTTTGTTAAACGGTTAAACAGAATGTATATCAGAGTGTATTGCAGGTTAGTAGACCGACCATATTTGGTTATATCTATAGTAGAAACACATTAAGTATGAAACTCTATCTTTTTTCGCGTTAAGAAGTTGAACTTTTTTCCGAAAAATAACTGGGTAAATTTATACACGCCCTTAACAAGTAATAAAAATGTCACCTCATTGATAACTTGACAGCACTGACATCTGGTGGCGTGTTAGCGTCAATGAAGCGCATCAGGAGCGAGGATCTCGCCGATGCGGCCCGAAAGGAAACACCTGTATGGACGGCCAGAAGGGACAAAACGTTTTGGTTTTATTCGCATTTTAACACCCTTAAAGTTGGCGTGTTTACGCGCAGATTTGGTACGTGTTAAACCGTAATAACGTGTTAACACGTTAAGAATCAGAATCAGCCAGGGCACACAAGGAAATTGGTTCCAGCTGCTAGAGACTCCCTAGTATACAGACAATAAATGACACTATACAAACAATAAATTACACTATACAAGACTATACACTATACAATTTGAAATATACACACATGGGTAACACAGTACAAGTATAGGGTGCAAGGTTAAGTGCAAACAGAGTTTAAGGGGGGAAATTTACAGAACGCAGGTGACACAGCTTAGCTGTTTATGAGGGTGATGGCCTGAGGGAAGAAGCTGCTCCTATGTCTGGTGGTTTTTGTAAACAGAGTTCTGTAGCTCCTGCCAGAGGGGAGGAGCTGGAAAAGATCCTGGTGTGTCCAGGGTGTGACGGATCTGCAATGATTTTATCTGCCCTTTAGGCCTTCCAGAGGTGTGGGCAGTGTGAGATAGGATGAGGCGGTCTACCTCACCACTGTATCATCAAGACGAACACGACGTAGGAGCCACGTTTCTCCGGGGGAGTGTTCAGACCTTTCTGTAAGCCAGCGTCTTCTCTACGCTGGGAATATGTAACAACAGCGTGGTCTCTACACGCCGTCTACATTCCTGCTTACATATTCACTACTCATTTATACCGGAGAAAGCATTTCATAGAATGTGCTGAGGTTGTGCCTAATTCTGCATTGGCACAGTGCCACTCACACTTAAACAATTTCTTCCATCTACAGAATATAGAGCAAAATAATGTGAAAACTGTCTCACGTTTCTTGTATTATTATGACCACAATTTTCTAAAGGAACCAACTAAAAAAAAAAGACTAAAGTCTAAACTAAGTGGCTATTAAATAAGTGTCACACGGGAGCCTTCAGGAAGTCCAGCATCTCTTTAGCACACAGACACAGGACTTCCTGTATCAAAAGGGTCAAATTTTGTTTCCTTTCTCCTCATTAACGCACTCAAATTTGATGTGTTAACATGCACATTTTGTACATGTTAATGCATAATAAGGTGACGCCATAAGCCTGTTTTCCCACTGACACTAGCTAGTATGCCCCCTTCAGGCCCGGACCCAGCATTATTCAAATCCCTTGCGCCTCCCCCCCCCTCCCCTTATCCCAGCTATGCTATAAAGCATATAGTTGATTCATTTTATCAGAAAAATGAGTCATATAATGTATACAATGTGGAAAAGGTGTCAGAATATCAAGTCGATTGCATTTTAAATTTTTTTTTTGCTGAACAGGAGCGGTATTACATAACTGAAAATAAACCGTCTATGATCACATTATTAGTAGGACACCCTGGACAGGATGCCAGTCCATCACAGAACATACACGGCACGTTGTGGGAAATTTTGGGACACCAGGTCACCTAAATGCTCATTTCTGGGTAGCAGGAGGAACCAGGAGAAAACTGATGGAGGCAGAACTGTGGTCTGAATCAAGCAAATTGCCCTGGGGCCATGAAGCTTCAGTACCACCACATCATCATCCCACATAAATGATGCAAATTAATGGGATATTAATGAATAATCGTTCATGAGGTGAGCATAAAGGGACACTGTTTCTTATTGTAACACACATCTTTGTGAGTATGTGAAGGTTTGCGATTGCTGTATGATCCGCTCCTAAGATATGATCTGATTTTCATCTCAGTAATAAGTAGATGCTGTCAGAACCTCATCTGGTTTTGCCCAGTGCTCCTGCTCCTGGCTTTATCCAGTGCTCCCTCTCTGGGAATTACCCAGTGCTCCCACTCCAGTGTTTGCCCAGTGCTCCCTCTCTGGGAATTTCCCAGTGTGTGCATGTGTGTGTGTGTGTGTGTGTGTGTGTGTGTGTTTGTTTGTTTGTCTCAAAGGAAAGCAAGATGGCACATGCGAGAAGAATTATCCCAAATCAAGCAGCATGCTTCATTTCTTCCATTTATAAACTTAAACCTGCCTGGCTGTGGACAGACAAAGGCCCCAGTCTTAAGGAATCCTTTTGTGAACATTTCCAGTCTTGTAAGCATCAGCTAATCTTCCGGGGACCCTTGAAATCTCTTCATTGTGAAGAGGAAGTAACTGGCATTGTGTGTGAATTTGTGCAGCACATGTCAAACCCACAGCTGAATTTATTGGAGCACTTCACACAAGTGATTAATTGTCATTGGTGACACACTGCAGCAAAATGTCTACTCTACATTTAACCCATATGTGACATAGCAGTGGACAGCTATTATTTAGCACCTGGGGAGCAGTGTCTTGCTCAGGGTACCTTACTGGTTGGGGATTCAAATCAGCAACCTTTCAATCATAAGCAAACTTTCCTAACCAGTAGGCCACCACTGCTTCACAGTAATAGGAATACATTACAAAGCCTTTCAAGAGCCAAATAGAGGAGCTATTCAAGTCAAAAACACCACAGAGATGAGCTTATTCCTCTACCACTCCGTCTTTTCAAGACGTCATCATCCTAAAGGTTCATATACTTTTTCTATCATATCAATGACATGTTTGAACCATTGTTTAGTAAAGAATGTAATGTAATCTTTCTAAAATCTTGTGTGTGTTGTTAAAAAGAACAATGGGCATTAATGGTTAGGGAAGTGCACTCGTGATTAAAAGATTGCAGGGTCGAATCCCTGACCAGCAAGGCACCACCTAGGTACCCAGAGCAAGGTACCGCCCCCCAATCACTGCTCCCCGGGCGCTGAATTAGCTGTCCACTGCTATGTCACATTGTCACATATGGGTTAAATGCAGAGGACACATTTCGTTGTTGTGCACTGTGTGCTGTGGTGTGTCAATAATGACAATCTCCAAATTTATTATTATGGCTTGATTATAATAGAGGTGGGGGTCTGTGAGGACGATGGGGGGTTTCTCAGAAAGAGGGGGTCTCTGATGATGATAGAGGTCTCTGAGAAAGGGGGGTCTCTGAGGACTATGGGAGTCTGTGAGGGTGGTGGGGGTCTCTGATGGTGATAGGGGTCTCCGAGGGTGGTGGTGGGGGGTCACTGAGAAAGAGGGGGTCTCTGAAAAAGAGAGGGGTCTCTGAGGATGATGGGATTTCTGAATTGAATTTCTGAATTTAAGCATGTGCTATGTGAAGGCAGAGACTCACAGGAACTAGACAAAATCCCTGCCTGAAAGTGATCCTTGTGTAATTCATGTGTAATACTTGTGTAATTCAGTCTTCCATGATTCTCCAGTATGGGATCTCAGAGGGTCAGCACCACATGCCAGGGAGCACAGGGCACATGACGGGAGACACCCTGGATGGTATGTCAGGCCATTGCAGGCGACACACAATCAGATTCACATCAAGAGCAATTCAAAAACACTGGCTCACCTAAACTCATGTTTTTGGACTGGGAGGAAACCAGAGTATCCAGAGGAAACCCACACACACTCTGGGATCACATGCAAACCCCACACACACACATTCCGAAGGGTAACCCTAACCACGCTGCATCCTAAGCCACCCTGCTGCCCAAAGATCCCTGATTTTCAGGCTTGGGTCACAAGCAGCCACCTCAGATCTATGTTATACATATGAAATGTAAAACATTAAATTGATTGCATCACACGATTAAAAGGTGCTGTTGCAGTGGGAACCTTCTATCGCTGCCATGGGCTATGAATGAGACCTCCTCTGCTAGAGTAGCAGTCACGTCTAACTGGTCACAGCTGGTTCCACTTTATTTATAAGCTTAAAAGGGTCAGTTCTACACAGCAATGGCAGCTGCTATGGGCTGCTGGTGATAAATGCACAACATGTTTAAAGGAAGTTTGTCTGTGAAACATGTTCTGCTGCATCTGCTCCTGTCCGTTTTTTTCTTGCTTATTTAATCAAAGAGCAAATATATGCCAACAAAGGACTTTCAGTACAGTCTGCAATAGATTATAATCCACCAAGGTATTTAAAAAATGTTTTATTAAGCATGTTCTCCCTAAGTGTGTTTTATTTTTTCCCCTTTCCTTGTTTAAAATCGATTGCTTACATCTTGCCACAGCAAACGGGCAGCTTGCATCAGACAGGACATGCATGTAGGTGTTATGAAGGAGAATGACCTGGTGTTCAGCTCTCTGAGGCCACACGCTCTGTCGCTCACTCCGAAAGCTGCCAGCGCTCTGTCTCCCTGGCCAAAGCGCGCCTGCAGTTACATTTACGTCTAACGGTGGGGTGCGGATGGGACTGGCGAAGCCCGCGGGGAGTCTGCTTCAGCTTCATTCTGTCTGTGGCCCGGCCTGGCAGGCACCACGCAGCGCCTCTGCACCCCAGCACTGGCTTCCAGTTTACACTGAGCATGTAGGTGTGGCCGCCCCCGCTTGGAGCCTGCCGCTGCCGGCACACTTACATAATGGCAGATGTTTAGCAGTCGTCTTTCCAGTAAAGACGGAATATAAACAGCAATGTGGGGGGGGGGGCGGTAAAAATCAAGCAAAGAGAACTGAACTCGCATTTAGGAAACAGAAGAGCCCATGAGGAGCTACAGTGCAGGGGAAGAAAACAGTGATGCTGTTTTGTCCCATAAAAACTCTCGGTACTCCTGCAGTATTGATACGGACATGACCCTACCATCCATCGCCAAATGTATACCCCTGTGTCAAGAAAGTAGATTTGCATTTAATTGCTTACTTGGCATTTTAATCCAAATAATGTGTTTTGCACATTTTTTCCTGCTGAAGCAGCTTAGATCAAGTGCATGTCAAGGGTACAACAGCAGGGCCACCATCAAGCCTAAAATGAGGCCTGATCCCTGTGGTGTCAGTAGTCCCCCTGGCTGATGTCACCATGCAATGAGTCACAGGTTATAGGTCACAGGAAAACCTGTAGGGGCCCCTTGTGTTGGGTGAATAGATGATGGATCATTCAGCAGGCTGGACCTAAGCACCAGGCAAGGCCCACAGCATCTCTAAGCCGGCTGTGAGCAGCAGCAGCCTAATATATATCTGTAACCCCAGCAGCTGCTCTGAAGGGGAGGGGGAGGCGCTCGGGCTCCCTGGGCGGACATCTCCAGAGCGCAGGGAACAGCATCGCGGCACATCTGCTCAGATCCAGACTTAAATGGAAATGCCCAGAGCTTCTGGGAGGCAAACCGGCCGGGGGGGGGGGCTCTCTGGGCCAAGTGGGAGGATTTGGCAAAGCAAGTGTGTATGGAGAAGTTAAAGAAGAGCTTGGCGGAAGCGACTGTCCCAAGCAGCACTGCGGAGCCCATCTGCAAATGAACATGGAAAGTGCTTCGAGACATAAGAGAGCTGGTCAGCGATGAGGGTATTTAAAGCAATGGAGACTTTTTAGAAGAAAAATGTGCACAATATGTGCATTTTACATGCAATCTCACTCCACTGAGAATGGTCCACCGACACATAACTAACTTTTCATTTCAGTAATGAAATGTTCTGGAATTTTTCAAGAGTTCTGAGGTGGCTTTCTGGATGAGCTGAAATGGCCTGACGCCACGTGTTGATAGTACAGCTGTGAAGGAGCTGACGTAACACAGGGGACCGATTCTCTAGATGTTTTATAGGAGAAACCTGCAGTTCAGTTCTGCAGTAAGTTTGTGGTGAGGTGTGTAGAGATGAGAGACATCGGGGTGGAGATGTCAGAGAGGCAGACATAAAATGAAGGGGAAACCATTCTGTGGCAAGAAGATTGGTAGCGCTTTCAGGATGAGAGGAAGGAAGGAGGGACTGAGTTGAAGTTTTGAAGGACCATGTGGAGAGCAGTGGGTGTAGGAGGGGGGGGAGGATGGGTGGAGTGCAGAGAGATGGAGACTGGTTGAAGATGTGGAAAGGTGTAACTGTGAGGTTGTGGCACCGTAGGTTCTTGTGAAGACCAAGTCTAAGGTTTTCTCAGTCAACAGACACAAGGAGGTGGAGGCAGCCGATGGATTATAGGCTGTTGACAGATGATGCTGAAAGTGCTCAGGGGGTTATAGGTGCTGTGAATTCTGGACGAACTTGGCAGGATGTGCAGCTCATCTCCAAGCAGCTGAGTGGACCAGGTGGGTGATGAACAGCAATTATATTGAGGTTAGTGGGGTTTGAGATATTTATAGCATGAATAAAAAGGTGAGGGCTGTGTGTGTCCATGCCAGGAAATGAGCAAAGACGCAGCCCAGCACGATGAGCGGAGCCTGGCAGGTCGGCGGCTCAGAATGGGGGGTGATTCACAGCTCGGCGAGGAAGAAGAAGTGGAAAGACCGGTGGGAGATGAGGGAAAGAGCGAAAGCGACTCTCCTGATTGCAGACCGGCAGTTCCAGGGGCAGCAGTAATGCTGCAGGGGGCAAAAGCAGAAGGTAAAGGGGCTTGGTGAAGTGCGGCAGGAGAGACTGCTGCAGGGAGACTGAGCCTTAGCACCAAAAATATGCTGGTAACAGCTTGACAATTGGATTTGGAATATAGTGCCATTGAATGTGTGCTTATCTTTATGGCTTCATAGCTGCTTGGAGCTGCTGTCGCGTCACCGGAAGAAGCTGCCGCTGCTGTTACATGTGTGATGGGTGCCGCGGCACCGCTCTGGAAGGATCACCGTCTGCACCCAAGAGAGCTCGACATCCTGCTTCATCTGCAGACGGGCCTGGAGCCAGATATGCAGATTATTTATATAGCAAAGGAATGTGCTATGATCACCACTTTGATTTTGGCATGATTTTTAATAGCTGAACACAGCTGCCAATAGTTATGTACAGGGGAGCAGTAGGGGCATGAACACCCAGAAGATTCAGGGGGCTGACACTTGACAGGGGCCCTTGAATACATAAATTTTATGGAAAAAGTGGGCAGGTGGACAAGGTGCCAACATTTACTGTTTTTAAAGAGGACCCTTCTGTGTCATAATGGCAAACTTTAAGAATGACGGAGGAGAGGAGAGATACTTGTTATGGTACTCCAGAATGACTGGGCCTTCAACCCCGGATTTTCCTCCTTAGGGCCCTTTGTTAAGCCCAGGCACAGTGTGTGGCTCAGTGGGTCAGAACGCCACGCCCGTGAACGAGAGGCTGCTGGTTCATATCCCATGGTTGGTAGAGTGATGTCACTGTTGGGCCCTTGACCCTCAGTCAAGCACCTTCAGCTAAGCAGTGCAGGTGGTGGCCTGGAACAGAAAAGAGCTGGATTACTGAGAACTGGGATTGAATCCACTGTGTTATGGGACGTTACCATCAGGGAAACAGTGCTTTCTTCCAGGCATTTACATCGAATGTATTTTATAGACGCCTTTGTCCAAACCAACTCACAATATACTCAAAATGCTGTTTCTGAAAGGTCCAAAAAAGTCAGCAGTCAGATCAAAATGCATCTGTGGTGATATTTCATATTCAAAGGTTATATTTTGGTTTGTGTTCTACTGAACAGAAACCGAGAGAGAGCTTTGTTGGACAACAATAATAATTATCAATTATTTGTTCTTGTTGTTCATATAACAAGCATATGTCTGCAAGGCCCTCAAGTTTCATCAAATGTTTGGAGTGAGATTACATTAGGGGCGAAACGTGTGTCTCACGGTCAATGTGTGAGACTTGACGGCCCTGCCTACCGCGTTCATTGGATCTTGCTCTTACATTTTCATCTTTTGTGCACTCCATCTGTGTGCACATCCATACAATAATGTGCTTGCAGCGGGATCGCACATAACTTATTTTGGAATTTAATAACAATTGCTATTTTCCAACTGGTTGGTATAGGTGGCTATTAACTCTGTATAATTCGAGACAGTTATATATAAAGCGTAAAACTCCACTCTGTATGCCTGCGCATCGTTCATCAATTCTGCATAACGGGATACCTTGGTGGTCATTACTCTGTGCTTCTCAGTGTGAGAAATACAAAGTCTAGCATGAGAGCATGTGAACTGATTGAAATGCGCATATCTCACAGTCTGTGCTTGAGACTTGAGAGCCATGCATCTGTATGCATCACTGACTGAATCCCCCCGCCTTTGGTAAGTGCTCCACAGTCATATGTGAGCATGATGTACAGATGTGTTAAAATGCATCATGGGAGCCATACAAACCACACAAAGGCACTCAGAGCACATGAATCCACAGCTCCTGTTGGGTGGCTTGTATGGGAAACAGAGCAAACCCCGCCCACTCCGCTGGTACTGGTGCAGCCCCTCCCAGGCCGCCTGTTTACTCGGAGTGGCGCCCCGTCACTCGCAGCTCCCTGCATGCTTTGCGCGCGCGGGCGGAAGTTCCTGCATCACGCTCATTGGAGTGCATTGGGGGAGATGCAGTTCGCCAGCGGATGAATCTAGCGCCTCTGATCACCTGTTACTCCGTGAAAAACCGCGCATCCACAGCGATTACTTTCAGTGACTTGCTATTCAGCATTAATTCTCTCAGCGGACTTCCCCTGTCACGCTTCGGCTAACGACGCCCGGAGCCTCCAGCTGTCCGTAAGGATCAGTAAAAAGTATATTTATCGAGAGCAGTGAGTAGGGGAGCGCGTCTGTGTGTGTGTGTGTGTGTGTGTGTGTGTGTGTGTGTGTGTGTGGTTCACGGTGAGATGCGCGCACTTTGCGCCCGTTTGCGCGGCGCCCCAGCCTCTGTGCCCAGGTAGGCGGCTCTGATTGACAGGCGTGAATGATGCGGCTCTCGGTGCGCCAGTCGCTGGCCTGAGCGGACGGCGGCGCCCCCCCCCCCCCCAGGTAGCGCTATCACTCAGCTCCCGACGGGCGTTTTTACGCGGCTGTCACTTCGCTTTGTGTAGACGTGTAATTGAACGTTTTGCGGCTGTCACCATAAGAGCGCGTTCACAGTATGACGGGGACCATGGCCGCTCGGTGACTGGGACAGGAGGAGCGGAGGACAGACAGGGGCAGCGGAGGGACAGAGGAGAGCCTGCGACGCCCATCTGCCGGCGGGTTGCTGTTAGCCAGACCGGTGGTGGTTAGGTAAGGCGGCTGAGCTAGCCGAGGACGTACCGCACCGCCGGAGCTCTGCAAACAGTCCGTCTCCGGAGCCCGTTGATTGCGCCGGAGAGCGACCGAGGGAGACAGCCCGGCCGGTCTGTGTGCGGATATTCCGCTTTGCTTTTGTTCTTTTCAAGTTATATTTATTGTCATCTATTACTATTATTATTATCATTATCATCATTATTATTAGTTTTCAAGCCGATACTCGATCATCTTGTCGTCTCCTCCGCCCGCATGTGTTTTATCGTATATTTCTCCGCCCCGACTGCTGCACCCGTTTTCCCCGCCGCCCGCTCCTTTGTCACGTTCATCTGTCGCACCGGCCGTTCCGCTGTGATTCTGCGCGCGTATCGGAGCGGCGCTCGGTGCCCTGCGCCATAGCATTGCCATCGCCTCTCTACCGGCCAGATGTGCCTTAGAGAAAATGCTACCACCAGTATTTCGTTAGATTTTTCCCTAAGAAACATGCATTTGTCAGCTGCTCGGTGTGTGTGCGCACCCGTGTGTAATTGCAGCAGTATTGGCATGACTCATGGCTTTGCCCAGTGCACTGTGGAGGCGCGTAGGATCACTGAATATGAAGTGCTGTGTTTGGGCAGTGCAGACTGAGCAGGGATCACACTGTGTGTGTGTGTGTGTGTGTGTGTGTGTGTGTGTGTGTGTGTGTGAGAGAGAGAGCATTGACAAGAGGGAGTGAGGGTAGGATGCAGTGTGTGTGTGTGAGCACTGACAAGAGGGAGTGAGGGTAGGATGCAGTATGTGTGTGTGTGGGATGGGGGGGGCTGGGGGTGTTGCAATGTCGATTGGTGAGAGATTTGGTACTTGGCACTTGTGCCTGATGCATGCTGTCATTGGAGAGAGTTCCATATGCCGAAGGCAGCATCTTCAGCCTGCTGCGCAATGTGTGTGGCTTAACCCCCTCCCTCTCCCCCCTCCTCCTCCTCCTCACCCTCCCCCTCCTCCTCCAGTGTAGGCAGCAGATGCCCCACAGCCCGCTGTCTGCCTGTGTCTCATCAGAGGGAACTGCGCACTGGGTGGAGCTGGCACTGTGCACCCAGGTGGCAGACGCTTGCTGGACCTCCATTCAAGGCGGTGCCGCCATGAGGACCTGAGCCGGGTCAGTCTGTGGAGCGTGGCCCCGCCCGCTCCTTGGGGGTTTGGCCAGCTGCCCTGGGGGGGGTCTGTCACGCTTTGTCTTCATGCTGCTGTTTCTCCGTTTGTCTCCAGCTGGAGCGTCGCTGAGTCTGCGCCTCGCTTGCTGCCCGCCCGGCACTGCCCGTCCTGCGTGGACCGCCCACGCGGCAGCCATGGAGTGGTCCCTGGAGGGGGTGCGGGGGCTGGTGGCAGGCGGCATGCAATCGGTGCGGGAGTGTGAGTCCAGTGCCCTGGGCACAGGACTTTGTCTCCTGCTGCTCTTTGTCTGGTACTGCTACCGCGTGGGGCGAGAGCACGGCTCCCCCCCGCCGCTACGTGGGGGCTATGTCAGCGAGTCGGGCCGTTTGGTGGCGGGAGGTGGCCCCCGGATGGCACTGGGTGGCTCTGAGGCCGGGGGGGGCAGGGTGAAGGGGAGGCCGGCCGGCAGTGCAGAGGAGCAGAATGGATTCGCCTACTGCCAGTCGGCAGAGTGCTTCCGCTGCGCCCACCCCGGCGAGGGCCTGAACCAGCGGCTGTACCACAGCTTGCAGGACTACGCCAAGCGCTACACCTGGGCCGGCATGGGCCGCGTGCACAAGGGCGTGCGTGAGCAGGGCCGCTACCTGAGCAGCCGCGCCTCCATCCAGAAGCCGGAGGTCTTCTTCCTGCCTGACTTGCCCTCCGCACCCTTCTTCTCGCGCGAGGCCCAGAAGCATGACGTAGAGCTGCTGGAGCGGAGCTTCCCAGCACTGCTGGCCGAGTTCCAGAGCGTGTACCAACAGGTGCCGGCACGGACCGGCGTGCAGCTGCCGTCTGGCTGGAAGGCCAACGGCACGCCCCGCGGCCAGTGGTGGACCTTCTACCTGGTGAACCAGGGCACGCCCCTGGCCCGCAATGCCCGCCGATGCCCACGCACCTGGCGTGTTCTGGGCCAGCTGCGTACCTTCATCGCCAACAACGTGTTCGGTAACGCCTGCTTCTCCGTTCTGAACCCCGGCACTCTGGTCACTGAGCACTACGGACCCACCAATGTGCGCCTGCGCTGCCATCTGGGTGAGCCAGCGGGCGACCCTCCCCCCGTCCCCCCTGTCCCTCTGCTGTCTCCTTCCGGGTTCATCTTCTCTCTGTCATTCTGTGCTCGATCTGCTTGTTTGTCCATTTTGTTCTCTGTGGACTTCCCTCCGTCTGTGTCTCCCTGCATCTGTGCATTTACCCGTCTTGCCACTCGACCGTTGCTGTATCGGCTCGGCCGTCCCCCTCCTGCTTGCCCCTGTTCCCCCCCCCTTTGTCTGCATACGTTATCTGCATGCTGAGCACATTCTCCTGCCCAGCGGCAGCTTTGCAGCTCGGCGGTTTCTCCTCTTCTTACGGGAGGATTCCCACCAAAGCCATGCAGGTCACTTCCCGCCCTCCAGGGCTCCACTCCCATGAACCTGACCTTTAAATTGTGACAGTAGTAATTAAGTACTTTGTTCTGCGTTGACAAAAGTGTTGATATCTGTTTGAGATTCATCTTCATAGAGGAGCACGACCAGCTGGTGTTAATGTCTGAGCGGTTGTAGTCACCCTCTCTGTCTTTCAGCTGGAGCATCTTGGATCAGGCTGACCTTGAGAGGTCAAGTGTGGCCGTTTTGCTATTGTTTTTTTATCCTGAATGCACATGAAAGCCAGAAGCACTGCAATGCAGAGGCTATAGGGGAGAGAGGGAAGATGAGCTAATTATATACACGTGTGTGCTGCTCCTAAGTGGCTGTGTGTACACTGGATATGTATGTATGTTTGTGTGCTACTCCCATGCGGCCATGCGTATGGCTAATGTCTGTATGTATGTTTGTGCATATGTGTGCTGCCCCCATGTGGCCATGCGTATGGCTAATGTCTGTATGTGTTTGTGCATATGTGTGCTGCCCCCATGTGGCCATGCGTATGGCTAATGTCTGTATGTGTTTGTGCATATGTCCACTGCCCCCATGTGGCCATGTGTATGGGTGACATCTGAATGTATGTTTGTGCATATGTGAGCTGCGCCCTTGTGGCTGTGCATATGACTAACACCTGTGCAAGTTTTAGTAAAGTAGGAAGCCGCTCGTTCTGCTGGCGTTTCGCTCTTGTCCTGCCCCCAGCTGCCCCCCATGCAGTTCCCTGATTCTCCTTCTTCCTGCAGGTTTGAAGGTGCCCCCTGGCTGCGAGCTCGTTGTTGGGGGGGAGCCCCAGTGCTGGTCTGAGGGGAGCTGCCTCCTATTTGATGACTCCTTTCTGCACACTGCCTTCCACGAGGGTGAGAGAAGTGGGTGGGGCTGGCTGGGGGGGGGGGGGGCACAAGGACAGGATGGGGTTTAAAGGGGCAGCCAGAATCAGGAACTACATACCATGTGTTTTTGCATTGTGTTGGATGGAAGCTCTGTATTTGTGTGCAGGCAGCGTGGAGGACGGGCCCCGGGCTGTCTTTATGGTGGACCTCTGGCATCCCAACGTGGCGGCTGCTGAGAGACAAGCACTGGACTACATCTTCACCCCTGGCCGCTGAGGGGAGCAGGGGGGGTGAGGGAGAGGGGGTGAGAGAGAGGGAGAGATGGGGGGGGAGCAGGAAAGGGGGAGGAAGAGAGAGAAGGAGGAGATGGAGGGGGGGAGATGGGGAGAGACAGAGGGAGAGACAGAGGGAGAGCGCGATAGCGGGAGGGTAGGGGCTCCTTCGTCCTTCCCTGGTCTCGGCCGCCCTGTCCACTTCCTCCTCGCCCAGTCCCTGGGTCCCAGGACTCACTCTGCGGTGTGATGTTTACAGAAGCCGCGCTGGCCCACCCCCCCACTCTCCATCTGCCCCTCCCCCATCTGCGCACTGGTCCCTCAAGCCGCAAAGCTCCGCAAAGCACAGGCTGTGGGTGCAGGTGGCCTCTACGCACAAACTCGGCTTATCTGAAGTATTTACATTGAGACTTTTTTAGCAGGCACATCCGGGACAGGCGGGGGGGGGTGTTTTTAAGGCGGCTTATTGGTCTGTTAGTGACAACTTGCACTGTAATTTGTAATTTTCTAGCGCTGCATTGTCAGGAGGGCGGCAGAGCTAGGTAGGTGTCCTTACAGATCGGCTGGTTTGTAATACGTCTGTAGCTGGCGTGGCAAAAAAAATAATCAGGAAGCAGTTTCTTAACATTTGTAGTTTCTAATGTGAGAGAGCTTTTCTGTCAGCTCCTTCCATGAGCAGCGCGTGAAAAATCCGGCTGTTTGTTTGACCTTGTGTTACTCGTCCTCCTTTCTAGATGATGTCGATGATATTGCTGAGTAGCGTTCAGACGTCTAATCTTGGTGTGTTTACACATTCCTTTTGTATAAATTTGAAACTTTGAAACAGTGTTCTGGCTGTTAAATGATATTCGAATTCCCATTCCAGTTTTGCTGTGACATTCCTCTCCCATGGATTTGTTCTTTGTGGCGCTGGACTCATTTTATGATGGTGAATCGGCTGAGGGAAAGTACCTCACGGATTCTTCTGAAAGTTGGTGGCAAATCATCGGTGTCGCAGTTTTCCGATTCTGAAGAAATGTTGCACTTAGTCCCAGCACAGGATGCCAAAGACTGATGAATGGAGTGATTTGGGGATGAGACCACTAGGGGTGCCAGATCACCCAGTGAGACTCGTCAAGTGTTTTTCTGGTCCAAGAGCACAAATCCTCTGTGTTTGTAACTGGATCAGAGGGGAAGAAACAGATTAATCTCCATCCACTTCAGCTCCCTGTGGTCAGATTTCTCCTCTGCTTTTAGTGTCAAACATAAATACAGTGTGGTTTGTGTTACTAATTAGTTTCAGTGTATACCCATGGTACTGCTTTAATTGTCGTAATTGTTTGGTTGATAGACAGCTGTTACTTGTATTGATTGATGTTCAAATTGATTTTTGTACAATTGATTTGATTTTCTTCTCCAAGGTTTAGTTGTTTCAGAAGTTCTCCAAACCTCCATGTTTCAGCATTTCTATGTGAGTTTCTGGAATAGGCTATGGAAACGATACATAAACTCAGCACAGTTGTCTGGAAAGCTTTTAAATAGTTAAATTTAAATACAGCCCGAACAGTGACATCTTGGTGACTTTGGCTACATGCTTCTCGAGGTCTTTTTTTAAAATTTCCTGCTACTACACTGAATTTGCTACAAACCGCTTAACTGTGCCTCACATGGAAAGCATCTGCTTTGGTGGGTTCTGCCGATGTCCTCAACATGTACAGCTCGGCAAGTACCGCTTTTAATTAAAATGTGGGTTCTTTGTATCAGAGCACATTTCATATTCCAAGTCTATAATAAAGCACATCATCAGTGTTCTTTTGTTTATAATCAGAAGATGTAATGATGCATTTTTACATTTTCACACCCCTTTAAAACATCTGCTTTGGCTTTTCACTTTGCCTTCCTGCTGTCAGCATCTGGGCGTTTTGTGCTGTGGTCCCTGGTGACATCACACATTGTTCTGATGGCTTCTGTTATTGGTTTTATATGGCAGCTTGGAGTCCCAGCGATGGCTGTTGTACTGCCTCTGGGTCCCCCAGACCCCAGTACATGATATGAGAGTCCCAGCCGTGGCTGCTGTGCTGCCTCTGGGTCCCCCGGACCCCAGTACATGATATGAGAGTCCCAGCCGTGGCTGCTGTGCTGCCTCGGGGTCCCCCTGACCCCATCACATGATATGAGAGTCCCAGCCGTGGCTGCTGTGCTGCCTCGGGGTCCCCCTGACCCCATCACATGATATGAGAGTCCCAGCCGT